TCTCTGCTTTGCTTCCTGTGAGTCCTTGAGCTATGTTCCTACAGAAATCACTCCTTTTGCTACCCGAAGACCAAGGGGAAAAAAAGAAAATGACAACTTAAGGGATCTGAACCACCCAAAGGGACACAGAATTTTTTTTTCCTTAAAGTAGAGAAATTATCCTTCAGAGTAAGGCTAATTTCAGAACTTGTTTACTAAGCCCTTGGAGATCAGAAAGAACAGAGCCCCAAATTTCAGATTTAAGGTATTTTTGTAATGTAGGTACTGCATGAAAGCATGGCATTTTTTTAAGGCACAGAATGTGTATTTCTTCTCTCATTGAAATTGACAAATGTGAGATGCCCCTCTTTCTAGGGAATACAGAAATACCCTGGAATACTCCAAGGATAACTCACCATGAGAGGTGAGAATGAACAGCAAAGGAACCAGCATATGGGAAGAACAAAAATAATTTGCAGAAGCAAAGTTATTCTAAACTTCCAATCTAGACCTGTTTAATTCCTACTTCAAAGGTTATTTTTCTCTCTCCTTCCCCAAACTCAGTCACCATCTGAAATGATGGTCACTGACTTTCCATGACAACTTGATTTCAGAGTTGATGAGCGGCCAGTTGCTGTTTTATAGTAGACTTGATGGTGCATTTAAAAACATAAAAAAAAAAAATTTAAAGGGGGGGTGGGGGACTGCAAGGTTGTTCACCTTTGTTCTCTGCATCCTTGGTGTGGATGGGATGATGGTTTAGTGGTACCTGTAGGGGGCGCTAAACTCAAAGTGTCAACATTGCAAACCGCTATACCTCTCAGGATGGTCAGTCACTCTTCCAGGGGAAGAAGTCATCCCTGTGGAAATGACTTCCCAAGATGCTAATGGTGATGTGGACAATTTGCATTTCCCAATACTCCCTGATGGGGCCATTTCTCTGATCATCAAAGAAGGTGAAGTGATTCTTTCTCGATACTGATGGGTATTTTAAGTGGGGTTGATTGAGTATGGTAAATATTTAGTAAATTTAGTAAATATTTAGTAAAAATTTAGTAAATAGAGACTTTCTACATACAAATTGTTTTTAAATTTCTAAATTACCGAATGTCGTTCTTCTAGTGAGCGATACAAACACTCAAGCACCAAGTGACTTAAAAAGTGCAATGGTTTCTACATGAATCATATTGAACCCCATAAAGGAGAGAGGTTTATCACACAAATAAGACCACTGAAAGCAAATTAAATTTGGATACCCATTCAAAAAAAAAAACAAGATGACAAGGCACAAAAATTTTGCAAAAAAATAAAACTGTTTCATCTATCTTTATGTGCAGCAATAAAACTTGTAACTTAAAAAAATACTGGCAGTGGGGCAGGAGCGATAGCATAGCAGGTAGAGTGTTTGCCTTGTACGCAGCCAACCCGGGTTCTATTCCCAGCGTCCCATACGGTCCCCCAGCACCGCCAGGAGTAATTCCTGAGTGCCTGAGCCAGGAATAACCTCTGTGCACTGCTGTGTGTGACCCAAAAAGCAATAACTAACTAACTAACTAAATAAATAAATAAATAAATAAATAAAATTTCCATTAAAACAAAAAAACACTAGCAGTTTTGTCATTCAAGCTATGGTATGTATGGTGGGCGAACACAGAACTGATTCCTCATCTCCACAGCATCCTATAAGCACACAATCCACAAAGAAATGGACAAAATTAAGTTGGAGTGATAGTAATAAGGGCCAGTGCTACCATTGGCAATAATCTCTCCCGGATTCTTGTCTTAGTTAAGAAAAATAGAAAGGGGCTGGATACGAAGATTTTTGCTTACCTAGCATGAAGCTATGGTTGCCTGAACTATCGCTTCACACAGAGGTTTGAACCCCAACACAGCACAGTATCCCCAAGCATGGCCCTGAACATGGGCACCGGAGGAAGCCCTGAGTACAGAGCTAGGTGTGGCCCCTGATCACCTCTCTGGCCCCCAAACCAATACAAGCGGCCAACATGGCCGGCCTGAGTTCGATTCCTCTGCCCCTCTCGGAGAGCCCGGCAAGCTACCGAGAGTATTCGATATGCCAGACACAGTAACAACAAAGTCTCCAATGGAGACGTTACTGGGCCCGCTCGAGCAAAATAAACTTAAAAGAAAAAAACGCAGTGGAAAAGGCCTGCCAGCCTATGGGTTGAATCCCCTGAAAATGTTAAGTTTATCTTTATTTACCTATGAAAGTTTTGTTCCAGGAGCAGGAAGTGTACTCAGGAAGTGTGGCACTTACCTGCCCTGCAGGCGGCTGATCCCGGTTTGATTCCTGGCACTGAATATGGTGCCCTGATGACCACCAGGGGTCACTCCTCAGCACAGAGCAGGAAACACTCCCTAATCATCCACACTATGGCCTAAATCCACCCCCACCCACCCTACAAAAACTGGCCTTACATAGTTCACCTAATAAAATTCTGTCTTAAAAAGTTATTTCCAACAGGATTACGAAGAAAATTAAAGTTTAAGCCATATAGCAATATAAAATAATGTTCTTTAGGGAAACAGCCCTCATGAATTTACTTGTGAATAAGTAAATATTCCAATAAGTACCAGTATTATTCAGAGTAATCAAGAGAGTCAACCTTCATTTTGGTTCTGCCCTTTAAAAACAGGATTCTTTGTTATTATGTCCATTCTAGTTTAGATCACAGAATTAAAAGATATTTTATTCATAGCAGTCGTGATATTTAATCATAATAGTAAAACCACATGTGGGTCATTGCTAATTCAGCAGTCTGATTGAATAGAATGACCATGTTTATGCCAACTGGCTTACTTTGATAGAACCATTCTCAAGCTCTATTCTTCTCCCATAAATGGGGACAAATGGCTATTTTGTTGGCATGTTCCTTAATAAAATGCTGGTAAACAAACTAATTAGTTCCTATTACCAGAGCTGGTTTCTATTTTATAGTCTTTATAAATAAAACAGCATTGGCTTACACATGAAAATTTCATGCAGAAATAAGTTTGTAGAATTTGTTCTTTTTTTCTTCTTTTTTGCTTTCTTTACTTTTTTAAAAATAAAAGCTTTTCTTTGCTCAACATAAAAAGTCTGGTGGGTTTCTCAGTTTACTATAAAGCTGGAGAAATCCATGCCAAGCCAAAGACGTTAGATCTCATCACCCTTCCTCCCCCTGATGAAGACCAGCACAGCACACAGCTGGTATTTTCTCCAACTTAAATTTCATTTTTAAAAAATCCTACCCTGACAACGGATATGGCATGATTTCTCACTTATCACTTTCTAAAATTCTCAGAGAGGTAAAGCCTTAATATTTAGTATTGGTTAATGCCTTGGTGAGAGAAACACTGAACTAAGACCCCCAAAATGGGCTCTTCGGCAAGTTCCAACCTAGTTGGGAAACTGTCCCAAGTCAACTGAGTCACAGCCCAAGCATGGGAGGGTGGGGGAGGGGCGTGTGTTCTCCAGGTACTTCCAGCATGAACAACCAGACAACAAGGAAAAAAGTGCCTGATCCCAAGAGGCTGAGGCAGTCTCGGGAGGACAGAGAAGCAGAGAACAAAGGCAAACAACTTTCGCTGGTTCTAACGCTAATGAAAAGTGCTTCTTAAAAGAATTTCCTTCAGGCCTCTGCCAACCCACTGGGGAAACGCTCTGACAAGGGCCTCCATCCTGCAGTTGAAGGAACTGAGGGTGATCTCAGCACGTTCACCTAGGACTGCGCAGCTGGAACTGGCCATATCTGAGGCAGCGGTGGAGAAGACTGAACTTCAGTGACATCTTAGAAAAGGCTGCCATGAAAGGAAGATGAGGCTCATGTCCAGAGTGTTCTGGAAAGAGAACACAGCGCACCCATGGGCCCAGGAAGAGAAATGAAGAGACTTCTGTCCCCTGTGACACACTGGATCAAGTCAGGCTCTGCAGAGAGCTAGGTGCTTGATCCGTGGGTATTTATTGCTCATTGCACCATCGGAGACTTTTCAGATGGTCCAAGTTCAGGGATCAGCTAAAATAGGGTAGACCGGAGCACTATCATCCCTTTGTTCATTGATTTGCTCGAGCGGGCCCAGTAACGTCTCCATTGTGAGACTTGTTACTGTATTTGGCATATCGAATATGTCATGGGTAGCTTGCCAGGCTTTGCCATGAGGGTGAGATACTCTCAGTAGCTTGCGGGGCTCTGCGAGAGGGGCGGAGGAATTGAACCCGGGTCAACCGCATACAAGGCCTTACCCAGTAGCCTTACCTGGTAGCCTTCTATTTTTTTTTTCTTTTTGGGTCATACCCAGCAATGCTCAGGGGTCATTCCTGACTCATGCACTCAGGAATTACTCCTGGCGGTGCTTGGGGGACCATATGGGATGCTGGGAATTGAATGCGGGTCCGCCGCTTGCAAGGCAAACGCCCTACATGCTGTGCTATCGCTCCAGCCCCCAAGGGATAGAATTTTATCTCCATTTTTCTCTATGTTTTCCTCAAACAGCCAGGCTCAGAATTGCTTGGATTTCGAGAAACATCTTCATTCCCTTGCTTTAAATCAAGACACTGAAAAGTAAAATGAGTTACACGACAGCTGCTTCCTTTCTCATGGAGGCCAAGCTGGGTTTTGACACATCTGTTCCCAGCAGGGGACCCTGGACAGAACATTCCTCATCAGGTGGGGTAGGGGGAGCCAGTTTATGGTTCTCTGGCTCAGAAATTCATCATTAAATACTGAAGCAACCTGCACCAAGAACGGAAAAGGGGGCGTGCGCGCAGATACGTGTGCATGCATTACTGTACCCTAGACTGTAGAAATACAGAAAATAATAAAGCACGCTTCACTGCTTCCTGAATGTTTCATGTGTGTTTTCTCATCAGACTCACCACATAAAGAATGTCAGGAACTTCTCTAGGGCGTGTTTTTCTGCCTCCCTTAGACTGAGGAATCACAGGATCACACTTTTCCCAACAAAAAGACAAAATGATTTCCAACAGAGCCCATTCTCTCTTTGGCCTCTGTCTGTCTTACCTCACAGCTGCTGAGATCCAGAGAAACGCCCTTCAAGTTATGATTGCAAGCCAGGCCCAGCAACAGTGCTCTGTGAGGGGGGAAACACACAGGTTAGCGAGAGACACACCACATGTGCACTAAACACTTGCATGTGCCATGAATAAAGCCCAGACAAAGAAGGATGCTTCTCGGAATCACAGGTCAAGCGCCATGCACCAACCTCACTTTTTAAAATGCCAGCAACATCCTGCCTCCGGCAGCAGCGGACAAAACACCGCACCAGAACATTCTCCTGTTTGCCATGGAGTAGGCCCATTGCAGATGCAAAACCTGACCGGAGTGCCCTTCCTACGAAAATCACCCAGCAGTGCACCTAACTGCAAAGTAAAATAAAAATGTGTTCATCACAGATGAACTGCTGCTTGAAACCAGCTTGAATCATGTTTTGGGTATCAGTCGGCAATTGTTCCTAGGGTAGCAAATTGTGACTAGGGTAGCAATTTGTCCTGAGGAACTTGTGAATAAGTGAGGTCATGGTATGACAGCTAGATGGATTTATTAGGTTAGATTTATTAAAGGGCTGGAAGGGAGGGCTGGCAGAGTGAACAACAGTGACAGGGATTTGGCCTGAATCTTTCATTTGTTATTTTGGGGGGCCTTGGTGGAGCAGGGGTTGGGATGGGACCACCAAGTCTGGCAGCACTGAGGGGACTAGGTGGTATCTGGGATTGAACCCAGGACTCCTTGCTGCAAAGCCTGTGCAATGACCCTCTGAGCCACCTCCTGGCTTGAACCCTGACTTTGAATGCAGAAACCGCTGTCTCTCCCACGACACAGGTCATAGGCTCAATGGCATCAAGTCTCTGAAAATGACTCTCTGGAAGGGAAGGATCTCTCCTCAGGGCCCTGGTTCATCCCTCAGAAGAATGAGATAATTCCACGGGCACAAGCTGGTCTTATTCAACTCCACACCAGGGAGCAAGGTCAGGAGCACAATCCCTGGGAACCATCACCCACTGGGTGTGATGCTACAGCCAGGGGTCCCTCACGAATCAACCACACTGTCTTGGGGACTTGGGGAAACCCCAAGAACTGGGTTCTTCAAAGCTCCCTGGGATTCTGAATCACAGGCAATCCCTGAGGGAAACACTACTTGAGGTAAGCAGTTATAGTCTTCATGTTATACTGGGGTGGGGGGAGGGTGTCTACAAGATAGTGCTATGCCCAAGAGAAGTGTTCGTCTCAAAAGACGTTGCCTTGGTTTGGCTAATACTCTGGGATTCCTGGTCCCCAACGCTTTAAGAGCTTCCCACATTTCTGCAAATGCAGTCTAACACGGTCTCACAAGGTGTGGGGTGGGGCAGAGCTGCAGGCTGGCGCAGGAGCCCAGGGCTGTCAGTTCTCTTGGGCCTTCCCCACTGAGTGAAAAAAAGCACCTCCCAAAGTTCCTCACATTCAAAGGGATGCATGTATCCAAAAAGTTCGGGCTTGATTGTTTGTTTTTTACTTCTTGGGTCACACCCAGCGATGCTCAGGGGTTGCTCCTGGCTCTGTACTCAGGAATCATTCCTGGCAGTGTGATCCATATAAGATGCCGCCAGGGACTGAGCTCAGGTTGACTGTGTGCAAGGTAAACGCCCTCCACGTTGTGCTATCGCTCCGGCCCCTGTCTCCAAGTTCTGACCAACACTGGGGTGCAGGGAGCCAGCCCGTCTCCCGGGGGTCCTAGGAGATGCTGAGTCATGAAAGTGCCTGACAAAAGCATGAGGCTGAGAGTGCAGGGGTTGGCGCCACCCTTCCAGCACTGTTGAGCATTCCAAGGTACTGAGGTGAAAACCCAACTGAGGTAGGAACCCCAGAGTGCAACACGGCCAAGAGATGTGAGAACAGCAAGGCCCAGAGTGCCAGCCCAGGTGGGCAGGTGGCGTAAGCACTACCTCCGCTTAACCCTGGCAATGCGTGGTCATCACACCCCGGTTTGCAGATCAAAGTTGCCTTATAACCGTCAAAGGTTTCACAGAACGGTCCTACCCACTTTTGTTGGGGGGAGGGGTGGGAGTCAGGGGGGGATGGTATAAAAATCTGTGATGCTTACGCAGTGAAGTGTGACCCACTGAGAACACCACAACCAAATGTGTATACCACTTAGATTCTGGTACCGACCGCAATGGAAGGAAGTGTGTGTGTGTGTGTGTGTGTGTGTGTGTATGTGTGTGTGTGTGTGTGTGTGTGTGTGTGTGTGTGTGCGCGCGTGCAGACCCAACCTCCTCTCTCCACCATGGCAAAACTGTGCAAAGGATCACTCCAGGGGATGGAGAGACAGTACAGCAGATACAGTGTTTTCCTTGCATGCAGCTGACCCGGGTCCAATCCCCAACACCACATGTGGCTTCCAGAACACCGCCAGGAGTGACTCCTGAGTACAGAGTCAGGCGTTAGCACTGAGAACCACCGCGGGTGTCCCTCCTATCCCCTACTTCCTGTCTATTCACCAAAATAGGACGATTCCAGCCACAGGGCCCCGTGAAAACCGGCTCATGCTTCCCAGGAAGCCAAACCCAGATGGAGTTTGGACCAATGACTTCCTTTCTCCCTGCCTCTGTTTCCTGAGCTGTCACCTGGGAATAAAGAATGCTACTTTATCACAGCTGTTGTCAGCCCTGAGAGTGACTGTCTAGTCCAGGGCAGAGTTTTGCCAATCCCAGCCCACACCCATCAGGCCATCCAGACAACCCCACTCTCTCTTTTCAAATGACAGGATCACTAGGCCACATCTACGGAGAATTTGCTTTCCGACAGGTACGGCCATGAAACCTTATTCTTCACACTGCAATTCTGCATGAAAACACAGCCCTGCAGAGAGCACTGTGATTTGACAGGGTCAAACCTTTGCACCAATCCCCATGGGTCACCAGACTGGACACTGCAGTGTCACCATCACAGTCTCTCTCTGGGACAGAGCACAGCAAAACCACGTTGGGTGCAGTCTACGAAATCAATGACAAGTCAATCAAGAGCCACTCATTCCAGGAAACACCTGTGAAGGAATTAGAGTGCTGCTTCGTGTACTTCTCACTCATAATACTTTAAGCCCGATAATCTCCTATTTATATACTCTGAAGGCAAAGATCGAATCCAGGGATGCTTTCTCCTCACTGTCTCTGTGATACCTACCCAGACTACTATAGCTGCTCAGTAAATATTAGTTGAATGAGTGACTAAGTCAATGAGTGTAATTAAATTACAATAAACCCCGGTACCCTATTGGTTCTGATAGCTTTATTAATATTCATACAGCCTATGCACAAGCTTTCGATTATCACAAGGCAGCTGTTATGCGGAAAGAAGGCTAACACATTAATTCAATATTTTTTAAAAGGGCCTGTGATAGCATCAGATTTATTTTAACGCTCAGCCTGGATCTAAAGGCATCCATTGTTAGTCACAAGGTAGCATGTGAAATAGCGCAATCAACACCTTCTCACCTCTCCAGAAGAAGAAAAAAAGAAAAGACAATTTACAATTAGGTTCATTCTCTTGCAAAATGAATGGGAGACACTGATTTTAACATTTCCTACAAATTAAGTCTGATTTACATGTCAGCCGGGGAAAGAGGGCCAGGCATACATTTGAGCACATCTCACAGAGTACATATTCATAACAACTTGGAAATTTGTGCTGGATGCTCTGAGAACGTTTGCTTCTGCAGGCCTTAAACACTGGAATTTTTACCGCTTCTGGCAATAGTAAACAGAATTTCGAGGGTAATTATTCTCAAACCTTAAATCAGTGAAGAAGTTTAACTACTAACTGCCTTCGGGATATTAACTGAAACGTAAGTTGGCTGCCATGTAAAAATCCAAACAGATAACCTAGAGTGACATGATTAATTTAGAAGCTAAAGCACCTGAAAGTTGATTTTCTTGCAGCTACACATAGGGACAGTTTGGTTAACAGTGGGAAGGGAAATACTTGACTAAAACACACACACACACACACACACACACACACAACACAACAAAAATGACCTGAAATATGCTAAACAATGGTTAGAATAAAGATTAAGGTACCTGCCAGCATAATTTTTATAGAACAGTAACTGCAACCACAAATCAAAGATTTTTTTTCCCAAAGAATATGCAATAATATCAAAAAGGGACAATATGCTGTTTCCTTTAGGGCCCCAAGGAGAAAGACATTTCCTTTTCTTTCAAATAAATAGTAAATAGTGGGGTGTGTGTGTGTCTGTCTGTCTGTCTCTCTGTGTCTCTGTGTCTTTGTGTTTAAAATTTGGGAGCCTCTTGCAGTGCTTAAGGCTTACTCCAAGAGGCGTTTGGGGGACCATATGAAATGCCAGGGACTCGGCTGTGTGTAAAGCAAATGCCCTACAAGCTGCACTATCTGTGCAGTCCATCAAGTTAAGTTGTTTTATTTAGGAAATAGGAAGGGAGAAAGAGACTCCCACAAGTAAGAGAAATTACATACCCTGAGAACCGGGATGTGGACGGCTTGAGAACGGGCTGTGTTACACCCCACTCTCTCCTGCCTTGTCTGTTTAGTATGATCCATCTTTTCCCCTCGCCCCAGGCACGCTCATTATAACAAACCGAATCTAGAGAGAATAATAAAGTCACCACTTACTTCAGGGGCTCAGGAGACAGTTTTGTGCCTGAGAGGTTGATCTGCACCAGGGCCAATGAGCTACTGAAAAACTGCTTAAAAGACTGGGGCACTTCTTTTCCTTTCCTGAAAAAGATCAGATGTTCACAGCTTACAAAGGGGTACACGTCCATCTCAGCTTCCCACTTCAAACTGGAAAATGTACCCTCTGGTTATCGACTATGAAAGAACCCATGCATCAGTTACATCTTCAGTGGAAACTTGAAGACAAAAAAAGAGAAAAAGAAAATGTCATCTGAAAGTAAAATAATTCAGTACTACTAAAAGCGGCAACATCTCACAAAGTCCCGAAAACATTTTATATTTGATTATTTGTGGCCAAAGATCTCGTGTTTCATACTGACATCTTCAGAAAACTCCATTTAGATTCTTTTTTTTTTTTTGATCGGGAAGAGGTTGGGCCACACCTAACAGTGCAGATACCTTAATCTCTATCCTATCTTTCTGGGCCATAATGGGATTTTTCAAAAATGGAACATCAAAGATGTTTTACTTCTCACTGATAAGAGTTTGCTGGTCACTGGCACCTGATAAGATTAAGGAGCACTATCCGCACTGACAATGCTTTTATTTATTTTTTCCTTTTTGGGTCAGACCTGGCAATACACAGGTGTTACTCCTGGCAGTGCTCAGGGGACCATATGGAATGCTGGGAATCAAACCTGGGTTGGCCGTATGGAAGGCAAACGTCCTACCTGCTGTGCTATCACTCCCAGACTCCCTGACAATGCTTTTAGATGCAGAGAGTTTCAGCTGCAACAAGACAGTGGCTGACACTGGGGCACAGGGCGGGGGGGGGGGGGGGGGGCGCGGCGGGCACGGCGGGGCAGGTTTAATGACAGAATCTGCATGACTAGCATCCTTCTCTGCTCTTACACCTGTACCGCCAAGCTAATCATCACAGGCCAAGTATCAGAAGATCTTAGCATCAGAATCCAGAATTCTAAGAGGACATGACAATAACCCCCAATTAGGTCCCCACACTATTTAGTGTGAAGTGGAGCAAATCACAGCACTCGACAATAAGGTAAAATCCACAGCACAATTACAGAAGAAAAAGCAGACTTGAATGAGAGCTGCCACGTGAACATTTTGATTGCTCTGTCCAGTTGGACGGAACTGTTGAAAAGATTGATTAAGTCCACACATGTCAGGCACTTTGCCTGCTGCTCAGTGGACACCAGTGTCTGCCAGCCCCAGTCTGTGGAGAGATTAAACACCCTCAGGGATGCCATCCACATAATACTCAATGCTACTTAACATACAGAGAAAATCTGTCCAATATTTGAAGAAGATTTTATTCTTTTTTTTTTTAAAAAAAAGAACACATTCTGGCTATTCGTGAAAAAATATCAAACACCAGAATCTCTAAGAGAATGGAAAAATCATTTAAAAACGAAAGAGACTTTGAGTAGCATAGGTATTAGACATTTAAAAGCAACTCTGGGTCCTGACATTTTTCAGCAAGTAGGTACTTCAGTAAGTTCTTAGGAATATAGCTGTCCTGCTGTCCTGACTTGTTGTTGGCTGTTCAGTGTTTCCAAATACTCACTGCTCCTTTCTTGGGGCGGGTAATACTGTGTCACTACCAAAGCAGGCATGGCTCTGTGGGTTCGTTGGATCACTGGTTATGAGCAGAAGTGATGAGTTGATTCCTAATATAGTTTACTAGCCAGTACCTGTGCTGCCATAGCTCTACCTCTTCTGCTACTGAAGGTCAACTCTCTTGTAAGAGGCTGCTCTGCATCCCCTGAAGATGATGTGACCAGGCCACAAGATATTGCAAAAAAAAATCACTGACTCTGAAAACCATAGAGACCATAGGCTGGGGTGGGGGCATCAGATCACAAACAATTTAGCCTAATTGTTTGTAATTCACACACATGAAATTATCTGTGAACCAAAGTAGGACTAGCCCCAGCCCGGCACCCAGCTGGGTGTAAATGCAGCAATTCTCACCTAATGAGGAAAGGCTCCCTAAGAGTCTACCCAGCTAAGGTGCTGGGCAGTAAAGAATTTAATCCCAATGCTCCCTTGGGACGATAAGGGGATTTGTTGCCACAATTCTGTTCTGTGAGTTCAATAGTTCTACGGAAGACCAACCAATACAGAACTTGCAGGATTGTGAACTCCGAAGAGCTGATTCTATGAACATCTTTAAGGTCTATGTTATCATCTTCTAACTTGGCTCCTCGTTAATTATGGCTCCGTCAAAGCTTGTCTTCCCAAGCTGCCTCCAACACACAAGCTGGCGTGTGTTCTCAAAGGATACCAATTCCCCGGAAGACCCTCAATACAGCGAATCTTAGAAAACTCTCAACTTCTCCCATCATTTTATCCCCTAGAGCTTCTACTCTGTTCTTATTCTGTTGAGGTCTGTTGGCATGTTCTTTGTTATTGCAATGATTTCATCAGTGTTAAAAGTTATGGACCAACACTGCTCTAAGACACGGGCTAACTCATTTGTGAGTCACACATACATACAGAGGAAGCGCAATTGCATCTTTCAAATAAGGGAATGCCTGTAACACATGCGTGATAAACAACTCTGTAAACCACAGTGAATAAGGAAAGAAAAACAAATAGTTTTTTAAAATTCACCAATAAAAATGGAAATTTACAAACATTAAACATTCTAATGAAACTGCTAACATTAAGCAATTCTTATTAAAGAAGTCATAATGACTAAAATATTGTTTAAGACTTGTGGGCATAATTACACATCTTAAGTGTCAAACTATATTAACACATTCTAAGTTCTCCAGAATGCCATGCTTGCAAAACACGTTACTTTTCAAAATTCTTCTTTATTCTCCCTTTCTCTACTATATGCCGTTCTTCTGTCTGGATACTTGTTACTTCTAATCTATTGTCTTAATTTTTCAAACAACCCTAAGGGAAGGAAGATAGATTCACCCTATGCTTTTTTTTGTTTGGCTATTTGGGTCACACCCAGCAATGCACAGGGGTTACTCCTGGCTCTGCACTCAGGAATTACGCCTAGCAGAGCTGGGGGACCCTATGGGATGCTGGGAATCGAACCCGGGTTGGCCGCGTGCAAGGCAAATGCCCGACCCACTGTGCTATTGCTCCAGCCTCAAACCCCTATGCTTTCTTAAGTTAGAGCGGTTTTGCAGGGCTACTCTCTCTGCTTCTGGGAAAGACTTTATTTGTACTTACAAGTTCATCACTGAAAAATATAATAGGAGGTTCTAAAAGGGGATGCCCTGGGCTGGAGATGTACTGGGCACCTGCCTTACACGTGGCTGACCTGGGTTATCCCCTGCACACCGTAATTCCCCAGAGCCCTGGCAGGAGTGATTCTCAAGGACAAAACCAGAAGAAATCCTTGAGCACAGCTGGGTGTGGTCCCCAAACTAAAATAAGTGAATAAACAGGTGTTTACCATATTAAGCCTAAACACCTGGCAAACAGTACATTATCATCGAGCTCACCGAGAGAGACCAGCTGCAGCTAAGAACATTAGACTGTGGTGGAAAACTAAGTAAAACAAAACTTTGAACTTTCAAGGCTTAATATTTGCAGGGAACAGTATTTACAGATAATAATAATGAGTTCATGGCCAAAGGCCAGGTGCTCCTTCCTCATACATGACAGTGACCCTTTGTCACCGTTTCCACATCATGACAAATTTCTCTGGGAGCAGGACACTCCTAGATGATAAGAATAGCACCGAGCACAGCCCTACCGGTGAGAAAGGACCGTTCTGGAAACGTTGAGCACAGCTAAGTATTGAAGGCAGCCACGGAGAAGAGCGCCACAGACCTGAGAAAGAAATACGGTCATTCTTCAGTAGGGAACAAATCATAGAGGGAAATATATATATACATATATATATATGCATATATACATATTTTCAGATATAGATATATATATACCAAAGCTCACATTACCCAAACTTTAACAACATGTTACTGATATCCTATAGAATGTCTTGCTCAGGCCAAATTAGAACAATCTTCACACTGTTTCCTGTATGAACACTTTTTTGTATGCACGTTTAGTAGTTCTTTACAAAAGATAATACGGATGCCTGTTGTTGTACAATGTTGTATAATACAACAGATAATACAAATAATGCAAATATAAAGTAAAGTGACATATACACGGTCATGGTCACGGTCCTCCCGTTGTTCATCGATTTGCCCGGCAAGCTACCGAGAGTATCTCGCCCACACGGCAGAGTCTGGCAAACTCCCCGTGGCCTACCCAATATGCCAAATACCAGTAACAATGATGGGTCTCATTCTCCTAAAGAGCCTTGAATATAATCTCAGGGCTAGGATGAAAGAGACGTTACTGGGGCCTGCTCGAGGCAATCGACGAATAACAGGATGATTTGTGATTTGTGATAAAGTAAAGTAAAGTAAAGTAAAGGCCCTCCGTTGATCATCGATTTGCTCGAGCAGGCCCAGTAACGTCTCCATTGGAGACTTTGTTGTTACTGTGTCTGGCATATCGAATACGTCACGGGGAGCTTGCCAGGCTCTGCCGTGCGGGCGAGATACTCTCGGTAGCTTGCCGGGCTCTCCGAGAGGGGCGGAGGAATCGAACTCGGGTCGGCCATGTTGGCTGCGTGCAAGGCAAACTCCCTACTGCTGTGCTATCACTCCAGCCCAATGCAAATATAAAACAAATAAAAAAACAGATAATAAAAATACAAAAAAATACAACAGATAAAATACAACAGATAAAATACAACAAATAACTCTATTTTGGTTGTGTTTTGGGACAGGGATTGGGGCTTGGCATGGAAACATCCTGAATTTGGTGGCGGGAAGGGGCAATGGTGGTGGGATTGGTGTTTGAATATTAAATGTAACAAAATATTGTGAACTAACTTATAAAATAAAAAATATTAAAAACAAAGAAATACAGCTGTTCTTATTCTCAAGTATCTTAGGACTTCGAGAATATTTCATTAGAAAGAAAGGCTTAGGGCTGGAGCAATAGCACAGCGGGTAGGGCGTTTGCCTTGCATGCAGCCAACCCGGGTTCGAATCCCAGCATCCCATATGGTTCTCCGAGCACCGCCAGGGGTAATTCCTGAGCGCAGAGCCAGGAGTAACCCCTATGCATAGCCGGGTGTAACCCAAAAAGAAAAAAAAAAGAAAGGCTCTCATTTCCCATTAACGAGTAGTTCAGAGACCCCCTCCCCAGCATCCTCGGACAATAAAAGAAAGCATATTTTTTGATATGCCAAAACAGTAACAACAAGTCTCGCAATGGAGACATTACTGTCACCCACTTGACCAAATTAATGAACAACAAGAGGACAGTGCTACAGTGCTATTTTATTAAATCACTGTGAGATGCACAGTTACAAAGTTGTCCATGATTGGGTTTCAGTCCTACAATGTTCCAACACCCATCCCTTCACCAGCGTACCTTTCCCACCGCCAATACCCAATTTTCCCTCCTTCCACCCAGCCACCCCCAGGAGAAGAAAGTATTACCATGTCCAGGGAACATTCTGTATTGGATAAGTCCAAATGAGCAATGGCATTTGGCTGGGCCAGAAAGTTGTACATGCACTTGAAATAAAAAGAGAAAAATCAAGTCTATTAGCATTGAAATCACACACATCCACAAACTGCCAGCTAACATCTAAAAATGCAGTTACCCTACCCCTCCTAGAATCATTCTTTACTCCTCCCAAAAACTTTTACATTATTTTTTAAAAAATCAATCTTTTACCTCATCAAGTACAAAAAAAAATTCAAAGAATATTCACACTAAAGTTACGCTTAAGTTCTATTTTATAAAAGGCCAAATGGAATCTTGGCTGCCAGATGCCTAGATTTTTGGTTACACATGACTTCGTTTTCCTGATTGACTCTATTTTTATTAGACAGCACTAATTAATCTTAACTACCAAGAGTGAAATACCACCTGAATTATAGTCACACCATCAAAATGCTAATCAACTTTGAAAGTGCTGCAAGAACCAGTCATTTGAATTTGAATCACACACCAGCAGCAGGCTGGACTCTCCAATCCAACACTAGGATTTTATAGCCTTAGTTACTTCCAAAATTTATCCCCCTAAAAGCCTGATAGTGATCATTAGTTTGAGGTTGTTTTTTTTTTAATTTACCTTTTGACATCTACCCATGACGTATTCAATATGCCAAACACAGTAACAATTAGTCTCACAATGTTACTGGGTCCGCTTGAGCAAATCGATGAACAACAACGGGAGGACAGTGACAGTGACAGTGACCTTCTGACAGCTAAGACATTCCATGTTGGAGGGGACTCACGCTGCCTAATTGTTTCCCTCCATCCCATGTGAGGGCATATGAATAATGAAACTCATAACTATGATTCTCTAATTGTCCCCTGTGGTGGTCAACTGCCAGAGTCCCCTAGAAAGAGAGTCGAAGCTCCTTGCACCAGGCACGCAGGGGAGGGAGCCCTCCTCTGCATCGCTGGCTGTCCTCCCCAGTGCCCCCCCTCCCCCGTGGCACTGAGCCAGGGCAAACACAAGCTACTGAGCGGGACCTACCCCTTGGTGAGGATTCCTAAATGATGCAGCTGAGTTCAAGGATCCTTGAGAAAAATCCTCTCTACCGAGAAACTCCGAACAGCAAAATATCATCCCATAAGTACTTTCAAATAACCCCCAGGGCATCATATCTTTTCATCATTTCATCATATTACGGATGAAAAATTCTGATTCAGAGAACTTCATCCTGCTCCCAGGGGAAGACCCAGTCTTGGCTGTCACTCACTCCGTGCCTGGTATTGTGTACTTACTCGGGGCCACCAGCTGGGGGAGCTCTAGTCACCCTCTCCTAGAGATCAGGCCCTCCTTGGCCCAAGCTTCTCCATGGGGTTGTTTTTCCCTGAGGGCCGTGGCAGAGGGGCTCCAACCTGCACCAGTCAAGGGGCTCCCAGTTGGGTAGGGGCGAGGACAGGGCACAGTGGAACTTCACTAACCCCAGACTCGTCATTCCACACCCCCTCCCCAGAAGGACACGGGAACAAGGTGATTCCTCAGGGTGGGCAGAACTCAAAGGGCTGGAGCTCAGGCCTGGCGTGTAGACCCAAACTTGATTCCCGACACCACACAGCCCGCTGACACACACAAAACCTTCTGCCTGCACAGCCGAGCAGCGCTGCGAGGGGTCTGTCTGAGCACTGCTCAGAAGGGCCCTCAGAACAAAAACTAGGAAATGAAATAAAACAGAGGATTGGGGCTGGAGAGATAGCACAGCGCGTAGGGCGTTTGCCTTTGCACGCGGCCGACCCGGGTTCGATTCCCAGTATCCCATATGGTCCCCTGAGTGCAGAGCCAGGAGTAACCCCTGTGCATCGCCGGGTGTGACCCAAAAAGCAAATAAATAAATAAATAAATAAAATAGAGGATAATAATGCCCGGCCCTGAGTGGGACAAATTTCCCGGGTGGCCTTGATGTTACGGGAGACTAATGATCCAACGTAACAAGACTGATTACTAAACTTCAGTCCTAATATTTAAATTTTAGTTTCAGTTTGGGGGCCACAGCCAGCGGTGCTCGGGGATTACTCCTGCCTTTGCATCAAGAATCACTCTGGGCGGTGCTCGGGGGACCGTATGCAATGCTGGGGATCAAATCCAGGTCAACAGCATGCAAGGCACGGTCCAACCTGAGGCACTGTCCCATCAGCTCCTAGGATTAATATTTAAACTCCAAGTTCTCCTTTCATCCCTCTCTCTAACGAGGTTGGGTGGTTTTCCCCTGGGCTCTTCTCTCAGGAAGAAGATGTATGACTCTTGATGAAGGCAACAAGTAAAATCAGAGAGTGTGTTGAAAAAGTCACAGCACTCAGGCAACGTTCAAGTGACTGCAATGGTGGACTGAGGGAGTCTACAGAAAGAACAGTGCTCACGTCCCTAGCCTGATCTGGAAAGGGAAAGGAGAGAAATCATTCCCCAGTGCTCCTCACACCAGAAAACAGCGGGATACAAATTCAGGACCTTCAATTCCCACCTGCTGGCAGCCTGTGTGCAGTATAGAGGCATTCCCCACCCAAGATGAGAGACTCAAACCTAATTCACCCTATGATAAGTTATGATGATATCATAAATCATCCAGTTGCATGAAGAATCTTGAGTGGAGATGCTGTGTCATCACGCTCGGATTTTTTTTGGGGGGTGGAGCTTTTTCTTTTGGGGCAGGGGGGGTCACACCCGGCAATGCACAGAGGTTACTCCTGGCTCTGCATTCAGAAATCACTCCTGGCAGTGCTTGGGGGGCACCATATGGGACACTGGGGATTGGATCCAGGTCGGCTGCGTGCAAGACAAACGCCCTACCCACTGTACTATCACTCCAGCCCCCACACTCAAGAGAGGTCCCAGTTTACTTCTATACTCCACTCTCCGTGCTGCATTTGTGGAGTGCACCAGCACTGGAGTTAGAGTTGGTTCATCCCAGCGTCCCCTTTTAATCACAAAAGTACCACCATTCTTTCCAACTGTACTATTTCATGCTGAAATCACTTGGCAAATATTTCCAATCTTACCCTAGCCGACCCGGCCGACCCAGGTTCGATTTCTCCGCCCCTCTCAAAGAGCCCAGCAAGCTATCGAGAGTATCTAGCCAGCATGGCAAAGCCTGGCAAGCTACCCATGATGTATTGGATATGCCAAACACAGTAACAAGTGTCACAATGAAGACGTTACTGGGCCCGCTTGATCAAATCAATGAGCAACGGGAGGACAGTGACAGTGACCCTAGTCAGGTGATTGTAACTGGTATAATAATGGTATAATAATGCTGTTAAATGAATAAAAATACTTCACAGAAGTATTGATACAATTCTTTAGGATCTTTGCTTCAAAAGACAGTAAATGTCCTCAATGTTGAGGGGGAAACCCTACTGAGATAGATTTTGCTTCATTAAGGCTCTGGGGTCTTTCTCTAACACCACCTTCTTGAACTGTGGTCACGAGTACATATGGGGTCGGGTAACTGAATGCAGAGGTCACAAAAAGTCTTTAAAATGGGTTACAATAATTTTTCATTATGATTTATTACCAGTAATGTTTGACTATAGATCTATTTTTTTATATCTAGATACCCAAACTTATGCCAAACGCAGTAACAACAAAATATCCAATGGAGACGTTACTGGGCCCACTCGAGCAAGTCGATGAACAACGGGAGGGCCTTTACCTTTACCTTTACCTTTACCCAAACTGATGTCAAAATTTCTTAGGTGAAAGGAGATCACTAGTGGAAAAAGGTTAAGAAGCCCTGCTCTAAAACACTTCAGAAGCTCCTCTCTAGGTGATACAAGGATTCGTGATAATGGAAGATGTAGAGAAACAAGTCTAAGAACCATTGAGAAATGGTTACAGGGGCCAGATAGACAGTACAATGGGTAGGGCTTTTATCTTACATGTGGCTCACCAAGTTCAATCTCCAAGGCCAGGGGATGATCCTTAAGGGAAAAGCCAGGAGTAAGCCCTGAGGACTGCTGAGTATGACCCCAAAACAAAACAAAACAAAAAGTTAATGATTGCAGGGAAAATGGAGAGATAGTACAAGGGGTTAAGTGCTTGCCCTGCACGTGGCTGGGCCAACATCAGTTCCCGGCACCGAAGACAGTCATTGAGCATCACCAGACGTCACTCCTGAGCACACACCTAGGAACAGCTTTTGAGTACCACTGTGTGTGAGACCCAAACCCACCCCCGCCATAAAGAGACACACAGACATGAGATATGAAACACAGCTTCTTGGAGGATGCAGTAAGGAAAAACAAACCTACCGAGAGGTCATCTCCACGGAGAACGTTCCCTGAGAGGTCTAGGTGGGTAAGGGTGGAGGCGGTCAGCGGGTTGGCACTGAGTGACTGAGAAAGGCTGTTCACCCCTGCAATACCAAGAAGACACACGTTCAGTTTTCACTCTGGGAAACAAAACATGGCTGAGAATCTTATGAAAGGCCCCGGAAGCCCTGTCTAAATCAGATTCAACATGAAGCACCATTCCCAAAAGGCAGCTCCATCACTGTCCTTTCCACACCCCTCCAGGAAGACCCACACCTAGGCAGCTCACTGAGAAAAAATAGAAATCAGTATCACTTGGCTCCTTTTTCCAATGTGAAAGCAAGGACAGGACATCTTTAATATGATGTTGCAATGGTCATTCCTATTCTCTTCATTCTGCCACGTGATCCATGATCTAGTGTCTAGTATTCAAAGGATACGGGCGTAAATTCAGATACTTTAGGCTACTGGAACTACTGGACAGTTAATCTGGGAACGCACGGCTTCCCCTAATGTAGCATACTCAAAGCAAAACTTAAGAGTGAAATGATTTTTGCAATGAATGAGGAAATGGTGCATTCGCAAGGAAACATGCCATCAGAATGCAACCCTGATCATCCACACTTTCACAATTTATAAACAACATATAGGGCTCAAGGGGAAGCGACCCAAGCTAGACCGAAGATTCCCCATAAAATACAAAGATGGGCGAATGGTTCTGTGTGGAGAGATGGGCCTCTTACAACCTTAGGGCATCTGTGGCTGATTTTCAGCTGGTCATTTCTTTTCTCGGGAAAATGTGGCATCTAGGAGTTATGGCCCTACACAGCGGGAGTCCAGGATAGTCTGGTCACCCCTTGGGATTCAAAGCGGTCAAGACACACGAGGATGGCTGCTCTCCCAGAGACTGCAAAATTCAATACCACTAAAAGTCCATGGTTCCAAATGGTATATTTTGGAAATACAGGTATTTGAAAACTGGGAAAACTTTTATTAGTGGTCTTGTTTTTCAGTAAAGTTAACCTATCAGCCTGCCTCAATGACCCTAAAGATCTGGGGTTGGGGGGTGGGGAGTGGGAATCTGTTCACAGGGGGACAGAGCGAACTTCAGGATGAGGGGTCCAGCCTCAGTCCTGCTGGGCAGAGCCGGCTCTCCTGAATCACCAACACCCAATCAGATATTCCAAGGCAAGGCTGAGCATAGACCGGGAGCAGAACGGGTGGCGTTGCTGCTGAAGGGGTTACTATCTTATCCTCCTGCTTTGGAGAGTTACAAAGAACAGTTCCGGCATGTGTCTGATAAAGGCTAAGGAGTCATTTCTCCAGGATGAGTATGCACTCGGGTATGTAGGGAGAAAAGCCAGAAGGTCAGAGTACAAAGTTTTTGCTGCACCAGAAAGCATTTCTTGACTATCAACTCAACATTCATTAAGTGCCAGTAAAATGGGTTTCAAATGCTAGGGATTGGGAGGTAAGTGCCAGGAAGATGCATTCTTTGTCCTTGAAAAGTTCAAAGGCCATCAAAGCAGAAATGAAATCAACTCCAGGATAGTTAGTGATGCACAAGAATACTTATTTATCACAATAAAAGGTTACTGGAAGTGGACAGTGTAGCATGTGAGGGCTTCTGGGGCCAAGGGTATATTATGTGAACCTCTAAAAGCCAATCTGAGGCTGGGAAAATAGTACAAACACTTCTTGGCATTTGGCTGACCCTGGTTCGATCCCCTGTACCACAAATAGTTTCCTGAGGACAAGCAGGGGTCATTCCTGAGCTTAGAGCCAGGAAGAGCCCCTGAATACTACAGGGTATGTGCTAAAACCCAACATGCAAATAAATAAATAAGAGCCAGTCCGATGGGAGAAAGACACTCTAACTGGTCACAACCCAATGAGAGGGAGTATTATTCAAAGAGGTGAGAAACAAGCGTAGTGAAATGGATAGAGATTTGATGAAATATGTGAGTGAAAAGGAACTGCAATGAGCTGCAGAAATGGTTATTTCTGGGGAGAACATCGATGATTATTTACAAGACCAACTTCCTTCAGTCTGTCCAGTTATTAGCAATATTGATGCATTTTATAATGAAATAAATGTACCCGGGGCATAAGGAAAATCAGTCTTCTCAAGAAAACCATTTGTAAAATTCTCCCTTCAGTGATGTGTAGGAAGACTCAATAAATAAGCTCCAAAATTAGGTCAAATTAGTCTTGGTAGCAAAATGCTCCTGAACAAGTGTGGGTACTTGGCGGCTGGCCAATATGTGAGCAGAATCAAGAGAGATGCATGTTATCATGATAGCTGGGCTTCCCGCGGAAGGATTTCCACCCCCTCCTCTTGAGCCCACATTCACAGAAGGCTTGTGCTAATAAGCACACTAATAGCAGGAAATTGCACAAATACAGGATGGAAGGAGGAGAAAAAAATCAGTGCTCCTACAGCACAAACTAAACACAGATTCTGATGCCATTCTTGGTTCTTGATTCTAGCTGTCTAATGATTTTGACCACTTTTCATTATTTATTTTTAGAGTGTTTACAGCTGGAAAAAAAAAAGGTGGGACCAGATGGCATTGCATTGACATAATCTGGCAAGCAGCAGGACATTTACCAGAAATCCAGAGCACTATCAGTTAGCCATCATCTGAGGAAGAGAAAAAGTATTGGGAGAGACTGTCTAGATGGCATAGGGAGATTTAAAAAAAAGAAAGAACACTGTCTTGAATTATGGAGCCATGAATATAAATGTTTGTACAGAACTAAAATATATAATGTGAGTCAAATGCAGCAAGTCTAAAACAGCAACTGAATGTGAGTTTAAATCTGAAAACCTTTCACGTCCTATGTGGGTGTCTGCAAGCCTTTCGGATATCAGTTAAAGAGACAAAACCAGTACCTCAACATAGTTATCTTAAGAAGGGCAAGTGAAAATTCCTTGGGTCACAGTAAAGAAAGCATTAATTCAGAAAACCCATCATTTTAATGGACAGCCAATATTTGGAGGAAGAAAGGTTTGACGTTTCTTGGTGAAGGTTGAGGTCTCCTCCCTCAGAACGAAACTCAGCACCCAAACTTTGGCCTTGGAACCTCACTTATGTCTCCTTAGGACAGAACAGGTTTAGGTGTCTCAGATCGTAACCCCACCACAGGAGGATGAATGAAGAATGGACCTCTCCTATGTTCTAACATGATTACCAAAGAAACGAAATCATCAGGTTAAAAATCCCCCTACGTGAAGAAAGCAACCCTATGGAATTCACAATAAAGTATCCCTAGTTTTCATATATAGAGAATTAACATACATTAAGAAAAAAAATCAAACTGATAGAGACATTACAAGAGTAAGAAACTAGTAATTTTCTCAAAAGAAATTTAAAAAGAAACAATTACCTAAAAAATAACAACTGAGGAGATGGAGGGATAGCACAGCGGGTAGGGCGTTTGCCTAGCACGTGGCCGACCCGGGTTCGATTCCCACATCCCATATGGTCCCCCAAGCACCGCCAGGAGTAATTCCTGAGTCAGAGCCAGGAGTAACCCCTGAGCATCACTAGGTGGGACCCAAAAAGGAAAAAGAAAATAAAAGAAAAAAAAAAGAAAAGAAATAATGGATTAAACTAAAATTTAACTATGCCCATGGTGTTCTCTGCAGCACTAACCAAAGAGCCCAAACCTGGAAACAACCTCAATGGCTAACGACAGATGAGTAAACAGAGAACTTGATGAAACAGATGAAGTCCTCCCTCTGCCACATGTGGATGGGGGCTGGAGTGTCTCGTGCTAAGAGGAATAAGTCAGAAGGAGAATGACAAATACTGAGCAATCTCATGTCTAGGCAGCATGGAAAGAAACAGCAAGAGAAGATGCAACATCCAGTGAAAATGAACCATGGGACTGTGGTCATCTAGGTGGGAGAGAAGGGAAAGGGCCTGTGAGCTGCGGGGGGGGGATTCTTGACTCTTTGGGGGTAGGTTTGGTTTGGTAATATCACACCCCCCAAACCAGAAAACTTCATACTCTTATGAACAAAGTTTACCTCAATGAATCAATCATTCAAAAGAAATTAAAAAAAAAAATCAGAACACTTCTGCCTACCTTCTAGGTAAACAGAGGAGAAGAGAGAGAAAAAGGGAGAAAGAGAACAAGAAAAAGAGAGATTGTGTGTGTGTGTGTGTGTGTGTGAGAGAGAGAGAGAGAGAGAGAGAGAGAGAGAGAGAGAGAGAAAGAGAGGGAGAGAAAGCCCGTATGTATGTGTATGTCTGAGAAGATTTCAAAGAGTGAGGTCCAAGCATACAAGAAGTGCTCACAGGGCAGGGTACTAATGAGGATGATGCTAGAGCGGGTGGCTGGAGATGATGGAGATAACAGGATGGTGGAGACAGTGACCCAGTTACTGGGGTGCTCTGTGCTCAGGAGCTCCCTAGGTGCCACCGTGATGATGGAGAAACAATCAATAATGGAACACCACTGTGTGAGCCACATCTGTGCATTTGGGTGCAGAGCTTCCTCTACTTGGTAGTTTCGCCACTGGGCACCCAATCAACTGACCCTGGAGGAATGAAGGTGAACCCCCAAATCGCAGAATTAGAAGACACAGCAAGCCTGCTGGAGGCTGTCCGTGGATTCCCACTCTCTGCTACTCCCCCCCTTACAATGAAGGCCACAGGCACTGAGATCATCAGAGCCTGTTCATGGTACGTGAAAGTCAGACTCCAACCCCAGGCAATCTGGCCTGCCAACAGACACTTTACAGTGTCCTCTAAAGAGGATGATGGATTTGGGTTTGGATCTGGGACGGCGGCAGGTGGCTGACTTGGCTTCCTCTTGACTCTGGGCTCAGGGATCCCTCCAGGTGGAGCTCAGGTTGGCTGTGCACAAGGCAAACACACAATCCACTGTCTGATTGCTCTGGCCCAGAACAGCGAATGTATTTATGGAAAGGAAAGATATTTTTATTAAACCCAAGAAACTTTCATTAAACACGTGCAGTGCGGGAGGCCAGAGAGTTGGATCGCCTGCCCTGTCGGCATAAGATCACAAGTTTGATCCCCGGGAGCACTATGCAGGAGCCTAACGGCTCTAAGCTCCAGCTTCCCTGTCACTGCAAGTGATTGCGAGTCAGTTCCACAATCTGGGAACTGCAAAAGGGTGCGACCCCAGAGGAAACTGCAGACCAGGAAGGGGTGCAAATACCACAGTGGGGAAGGGTAAACCCTGAGTGAGCGAACAGTGGCTGTAGTGACTGAGCACAACCAAGGATGGGACCCCTGGGAGCACCACGCTGAAGGAGCACAGTCCTCACTGAGCACCTCAGCAAGCAGCCCCATGTCCACAAAACACCACAACCAGACACGGGGGCAAAAATGAGTATGGGAGGAGTGAGGGTGAGAGTGAAAATAAAGAGAAAAGAGGGCCGGAGTGATAGTCCAGTGGGGAAGGCATTTGCCTTGTACATGGCCAACCTAGGTTCAATCCTCAGCATCTCACATGGTCCCCCGAGCAATGCCAGAGTAATTCTGGAGTACAGTAGCCCCTGAGCATTGCCAGGTGTGACCACTCCAACCCCCAAAAAAGGAATTAAAAGAAGAAAGAGGAAGAGGAGGAAGAGGAAGAAGAGGAGGAGGAAGGGAGAAGGAAGAGGAAGGGAGAAGGATGGAGGAGGTGGAGAAGGAGGAGGAGGAGGAGGAAAGAACAGAGTAGCAAAGATAAACAGTAAGGAAAAAGAAGTACCACATATTTTTTAAAGTTAATATAGGGCTGGCAGACAGTATTGGGATTAAAGCATTTACTGGGTGGAGCTAAACTCAGGTCAATCCTGGGCCCTCCAAGTACCGCTCCCAGCGACCCTGAGCAAAGAGCTGGGAGGAGACGCTGAATACCCCGGATGGTCCAGAGGAAAGCAGAAGTCAAAATAGTAATAAAGAAATAAATTAAACACTGGCAGGGCTGCGGGTGCCGTGCCAGGCGCTGGAGACGGAGAGGCCCGAGAGGGCACAGGCAGCAAGGAAAGCCCCGTCCTGGGCAGGGAGAGGCACTATCTCCACAGTGATGTCAGTTAAGTGAGTCAGGTGGGGACCAAGGACTCGGGAGTGGAGCCTCTGGAGGCCGTGGGTCCGGGGAGAGATCTCCGAAGAGAGGGTCCCCAGGAAGGGTTTCTGGAATAAAGGCAAGAGCTCTGAGAATGAGTGCGGATGAGAGAGCGACGAGCCCGGCAGCAGCAAAACGTCAGGAAAGTGGGTCACGGAATGGGAGGTGTCTGCGGGCAGGAAACCACAATCCCCAGAGGTGGGAGAGCCCTGGCGAGCCTCCTGGGTCAGGCGCCACCGTTTTCAGGAACACAGACAGGCCAGCTAGCAGCTGGTGGGCACCAGGGTCTTTCCGAGGACAGGACAAAAGAGAGCCGCCTCCAGCCGCAAACGGAAAGCACCTGGCATGTCACGAGTCCGAAACGTTCAAGAGAGAAGGTGAAGGTCAGGATTCTTCTCTGCTACTTAACAGACAACCACACTCACGGAGTCACCATTTGGTGACCTGCCAACTGCATAGGCAATGCCCAGGTCTTTACTACACGACGCAAAATGAGTCACTATAAACTAAGGCAGCAGGATGCGGCACGAGTGTTAAGACACACAGTTAAGGAAATAATAAGATATACTGTACCTTTAGGTGACAATGAGGTTTTAGACAAGTTTAAATGCTTTAGTCCCTTGGGGAGTTTGGCAAATTGAATACTTAGAGAGGACACACCTGAGGGGGGGAGAAAAAGAGATTATTAGAACGATCAGTCTCTGAATTTCCTTGACAATACCCAACATGATCATTTTCTTTCCAAAAATCAAGGCTTTTTTTAAAATAATTATCTTTATAACCATTTATAAATTTATTACCATTGTGTCACCTTTCTCTCTCCACTCCCCCCCCGCCCCAGGGTACAAGGAGGAGAGTATTATTACACATAATCACATCAAAACTTTACCATTAGAGATGCTTTTCTTTGAACCAAATGCTATAGCTCATGGTCTACTTCAAATGCAAACCTTTTTGGAAAGAATAATATAATCATTCCTCTCTTTTCTCTTGATTATTTATTGGCAAGTGGGAGGGTACTAGCCAGAGCTATACCATGCAGTGCTCAGGGCTTCTTCCCAGCTCTGTATTCAGAGGTCTCTGTTGGCACTACACAAGTGACCATCTCCCAGGGAGTGAACTGGGGTTGGCCACGTGCAAGACAGGCACCTCACTTGCTGTAGGATCTCTCCCGCCCGTTCCTTTTCTGTTTAACCTGTGCCATCATGAGTGAGCAGAGATGCCTCCCATTTAATTATTGCCAAGAAAGGTGGCCAGATAGGAATCACTTGAAGCTGATAAACTCCAATAGGGAAGAGGCTGTGACAAGCGACCTCAGTCGAGCCTCAGAACAGATTTTATCTTCTTAGAGGTAGATTTTGTAGCATGGCAATAATGCTTGAGGACTTCACAGATTAAAAACCTTAGATATTCCTTAAATGTAACAGCCAGTCTAGGAAACTGAATAGCAGATGGCTAATCCAGGGGCTGTGATGGGTGCAGACTGTATTCTGGGAGGAAGGGAGGAATACACAAACATTTGCCGTCCTGCAAGCCTGTCAACCTTGAGTTGCTCAGGAATTATCAACCCAGCCTGGTTCATGTTCTAGGGGAGACTCCGAAAACAGTGTAAACCCCATGTTCCCCCTTAATACCTTAGACTTGTCAAATAAGGTACCCAAAGAAAAGGACCATGCAGGCGGAAGAGATAGTAGGGGGGTTGGGTGTTTGCTTTGCACACGGTCAACCTGGGTTCAATTCCCAGCACCATACATGGTCTCCTGAGCCCCACCAGGAGTGATTCCTGGGCTCATAGCCAGGAGTAATCCCTGAGTACTGCCAGGTGTGGTCCACAAATAAACAAACAAAAGAACGAACAAACAAAAGCACCAGGCGGGTTGTTGCCCTATGGCAAAACCCCACATTCTCTATAAATATTACCCAAATTTACCAAGAAATGCTGATAGACTCATTTTCCCAGAGACATACCCTTAAGTTTTCTCCCATCTCGATATGACCCTGCTCTTTCTTCAATGTATAACACTTTCCCTTTCTGTTCCCTTCACATTTCTCTAAGTTCATTTCTTTAAGTAAAACTATCTCATCAGAGAAAGAAGAATGGAAGAAAGAAAGGAAGGAGGGAAAACCTGAAGACTGAGAAATGATCTAAAGGTCACACAACTAGCCTAAGCCTCTGGATGGCTGTTTCCCCAGTAAAGGTGGGTGTTCTGGAAGTTTCTACCCACAGTGCATCACTGTCAAACAGGTTTGACAATCACCGGGAGAAATAGACTTAAATAGATTTTAAACTAAATATTTCATAAACTTGAAAATGTGAATCCATATTGTTAACTGCAAAGACAGGGAGAACCATATATTTAGATTCTTGGAAAAGAATAACTAATAAATTCATGGGGGAGAGGTGAGTGAAGTAATTTTTAAAACCTGATTAAACCAATAAACAAAAGAGGGATGAGGAGGGAAGGTGAGATCCAATACCCCCAAAAAGTAAAGCTAGAAAAATATCTATAGATTTTTATACTTGAGCAAGCAATGATTAAATATAAATATACTAAATACTCAAACTAGAAGGGAAAGATAGCTTATATGAACAAAAAATATCAGATGTTTGAAAGAGGCACACTTGAAAATATATGGGATCAAAAAGATTTTAAAAACAGAAACATATGTAATCAGAAGATGTGAACATAAAATCATGGGGAGAAGCATATGAAACAGACGCTCGCCAAAAAAAAGATGATACAGCTGTAACAAGATAAGCTAGGCTTTAAGAAGCAATACTGGGCTGGAGAGATAGCACAGCGGGGAGGGCGTTTGCCTTGCCCAAGGCCAACCCGGGTTCGACTCCCAGCATCCCATATGGTCCCCTGAGCATCGCTAGGAGTAACTCCTGAGTGCAGAGCCAGGAGTAATCCCTGTGTATCGCCAGGTGTGATCCAAAAAGAAAAAAAAAAAAAAAAAAAAAAAAAAGAAGCATTACTAATGATTAATGTGGTATCTTGTTAATAAAGAATAGATTAAACACACATAAAATAACGTATAAGCTCTCTGTCAAAGAGAATACAAATGGACAAAAATTAGTATAGATACAGATTTCAAGAGAATTGAATAGATCTAGCATAAGTATATATATAAATTACCTAACAAATAGAAAATCTATTTCTTCAAAGTATACATGGAACACTTACAAAAAGACCATATGCTCAAACGTAATGCTTTCTTGACAAATAACATAGACTATATTCCTTAACCACAGTGAAATCAGGGTGTATATTTTCTGTTTGTATGTTCTCTCTGCTTCTATTAGACTGACAAAAATTTAACAAGATAACCAGAAAATCTCCAAATAATTAGAACTTAAGCAATATACTGCTAAATAACAAACTGAGTAATCCCCAAAAATTCATAATAAAATAGTTTGGGGGGGGTGAAGGGATTTGGGGCACATCTGAGGTATTCAGGGGCTGTGTACTTAAGTGTGACCCCTGGTGCTTGGGAAATTGAACCGGGGTTGGCCACATGTAAGGCTCATGTCTTACCCTGCACAATCGCTCTGGTCCCATAACACATATTTCAAAAGTATCTTGGTTCACATTGAAGGGGAAAAAAAGGATCCTATTTTTCTGTATACAACTAGATTCATGTTTAGAAGGAATTATACACACACACACACACACTACAGCCATACACACACACTGTAGTCATACACACACACACACACACACACTAATACAGAGAGCAGAATACAAATCATCTCTATTCACCTCAAATGCTTGAAAAAAGAAATCAAATACCTATCTATACCCACAAATGGAAGGAAGGAAATCTTTAGAAAGCAGTCTTAAAAGAGTAAACTGAAACAAATTTGTTGATCTAAATAAAAAAATGTTAAGATCAAGAAAGAATGATTAAATAAGAGAGGCGAAAAGGGATCAAGTTATTAAAATTAGGGAAATGCAACACCAAAACCATCCTACCTAGACTGCAAATATAACAGAAAGATACATAAATTCTCTGTTTCTAAAAAATGTTTCTATTTTAGGAAATATAGACAAATTCCTCATGGAAAATACAACTTCGAAAAGTTATGTAAGGAATAATCTCAGTAGGGGCCAGAGAGGTAGCCCAGGGGTTAGGGCAGTTGCCTGGCATGGGGCTAGGCCTGGTTTGATCTCCAGTGCTGCACTGGGCACCCTGAGCACAGAGGCAGGCGGAAGTCCTTCTCCCTGCAAACTATCTTCCCCCCACCCAAGAAAGGACTTTCTGGCAAGCAAGTCATCTCTGATTCCTACCTCAGCAGTCACCTATCAATTAAAAAATTAATTTATGGGGCTGGAGGGAATTTAAAAGCTTGAGGTACTGGCCACAGAGAGAGCCAAATGAGCTAGACTGCATGCCTGTTTATACAATCGTGCAAGTGGGCAGAGTCAATGCCAGGCACCACCTGACTGCTAATATAGCCCTGATGTTCCCTGTGCGATGCTGGGTCTGAGCACAAAGCCTAAGGGTCCAGCCTTCCCGAACACGCATGTGCACACACACGCACACTTAGGGAGATTCCCAAGCACCACTTGAAAACCTGCAGCTGGTCATGAAACAGAAGAAATTAAGTATTGAATATAATACGGAAAATCTAGGTAGCCTTACATACAGCAATGACTTTCTAGGTATAATAGTCAAGGTGCGATCATTGAACAAAATAACAGGTAAGCTGGACTTGATTGACATTTAACAGTTCCGCCCTACTCAGAGGAATGAGAGGACAAGCCAGAGACTAGAAGATGATGGCAAAGAGCACATCTGCTAAAGGACCTATGCGGAGTATACAGGGGCCTCTTCAAACTCAACAAGGGAATAACCAAATTAGAAAGTGAATTCAAGACTTGAATAGGCACTGCATCCAAGAAGACAGCGAGAACAAATAAGCTACGACCATCATATATCATGAGCTTTCCCATTGAGCTTTCCTCCCCGCCCCGACCAGGGCTCCGGCAGCCAAAGACCTCCAGGACCAGCCACCACCATGCTGAGACCACTCTCCGCACACATGAAGGTACTGGCAGAGGGACAAAGTCGCGCAGGTTCCGGGGCCGAGATTTCCAAGACTACTCGGATTGGGGCCGAGCATCCTCCACCCAGATCCTCCAAATTCCAGTAGGCGGGGGTCACACCCACCAACTGGCCCCCTGGAGCCGTGTAATCCCATCAGCGGCCAAGACTCAGAGACTATAAAAACCAGTTCCTGAAACCAGGCGGCCGCATTTGCGGCCGCGCAACATCTTGTTATGACATCTTATTATCTCACTCCTACTTTGGACAAACTGGCAGGCTACCGAATGTAGCCTGCCCACATGGCAGAGTCTGGCAAACTCCCTGTGTCGTACCCAATATGCCAAATACCAGTAACAATGATGGGTCTCATTCTCCTAAAGAGCCTTGAATATAATCTCAGGGCTAGGATGAAGGAGACGTTACTGGGGCCTGCTCGAGGCAATCGACAATCATACATCATCAAAAACCTCTACTTAAAACAATGACATACTACTACAAGCCAATGAGAATGATCTAAAATAAGGAATATTAGGGCTGAGGAGATAGTTCAGGGGTTACAGGGTTTTGCACACGGTTAGTCTGGGTTTGATCCCCAGTACCACATACGG